CCCCTCCACCACCCCTCCACCACCCCTCCACCACCCCACGTTCTCTCTAACCTCTCTACACTTGGCTGGCCTCTATCCCTTTGTGATTGACAGGAGATCCTCACCTACAGCAAACTTACAGAGCATGACAAGAGCCCAATCATCACCGCTGTGTGATTGTGTGCTGGCGGTACAGTCTAAGCAAAGCCCCCGAACGCCCGCACACATTTAGAAAGCCCCTGCACCTGCTGTCCTCCGCGCCGCTTTGTGAAAACCAACTACACACCGGCATGGTAGAGTGGGCCTGCATAAGTGCTCAGATTGGGATTTATAACAGAGCTAAGTGTGTGTGTGTGCGCGCGTGTGTGTGTGTCAAGGGGGTGGGGGTCGCTTTTACGCCTGGCGTCCTCCAGTAATAACCCCCTCCCGGGGTCTCGTCCTCTGCGCCGGGAGGTGCACAGCGGAGGGCAAAGGCCAGAAAATTCCCTCCAGATTGCTTCTGGAGTCCGAAAATGTATCCTCAACAGTTCCCCCCGTTCTCATTTTTATCTCTGTTTCATCCTGCGTGTTGATTCTGGGAGCGGGCAGGCTGGCCGGGCGGGGGGTGTGGGGTGGTTCAGGGTCAGAGGGCGAGTTAAGGCGCTAAGCCGCGGGACAGATGTATCGAAAAGGTTTCCCCCAGGTGGTGCTGGAGCCGTGGGAAAGGATCCCTCGCACGGGCCGAGCGGCTCTGACCGGGGACGGTTTTTTTCTGGGTTCCAGGTGCGCCTCGGCGGGGGACGATGGCCTGGTTTTGGTGTGGAATATCGAGGTGAGATTTCACCAACTCGTTTCTGTTGCTCACAAAAAACCAACAAAAAAAACCCCCAACAAAAGCATCTGCCTTTTCTTGTGTTGTCCTCCGTCTGATTGGCAGACAGGGGAGAGGCTCCAGGAGCTGAGGGGCCACTCCCAGCAGATCACCGCCATCACCACGCTGACCGCCGGCGGGGAGGGCGCCGACCACACGTCGCTCATCACCGCCTCCTCCGACCGGAGCCTCAGCGTATCCTCTGGCAGAGCCTCTCCCTGTCTCAGTGCTCCATTCAGGGCTTTTTTCTCCTTGACCGCGGCCGGCAGCTGTGGGATCCTGACACGGGAAACCGGGTTCAGACCATCTCGGACCTTCAGTCGTCTGTGAAAGTAAACAGAGTCTTCACTCCAAACGCTCGCTATCTGAAGAAAGCTCAACCTTGCTTCTGTTTGTCGCACATCAAATAACCATTTGGCCGATACAAAATAGATTTATAATTAGTTTTCCCTTTAGTGGCTGGGACGCACAGAAATAAACAAAAACGCTTCTCATTACACACTTGTCAAATTAGTTGAAAATTCATCCATGTAAATGAGTTAATAAACCTTTTATAACATGAAAAAATGAAAAAACAGCAGGTTTTAGGTGACTTTTCAGGTTCGAACAACCCAACAGAATCAAATCCGAATGCATTTTTTTAGGTTTCAGAGCAAATTCTGTTCCACACACTGCAGAATGAGCAGCTCTCTCTTTAACCATTCAGACAAAGAAGAAGAGAAGGAGCCTAAACTGTGTACGAGGGGAAAATAATAAATTTTTTAAATATTAAACTATGTAAGTCAGTTTCAGATTGGCCTTATAAAGCAGTCGTAATACTGTAAAAATGAACCTTATGTGGTAAATATGATGAGTTTTCTGATGAATGAATGTTTTTTTTTTTTTTTGCCAGTGTCTGCTGGTGCTGGAGCGGCTGGGCGTGTGTGTGTCCGGCGGGGGGGAGTTGTGCGTGTGGAGCGCAGACTTCCAGCTGCAGTGCCACCGGCAGAACCACAGCGACACGGGTGAGCCGGCGAGCTGACCGGCAGGCCGGCCGGCCGCGCTCAGGCTGACCAACCTCTGTTTCTATATCCATGCACAGGAATAACCGCTTTGATCGAGCTGCCCAAGAACTGCATGGCGGCTGCTATGGACAAAGAGATAAGTACGAGAAGGAGGTCACTTCTGCCGGACTCCCCCGATGTTTGTGACCGCGTGACGATGGACTCTGTCCCCTCTGCTCCGCAGTGATCTACAGGCTGACCGTCTCCACCGATTCCTCCGTGTCGGTGGCCGAGATGCGATGCCTGTCGGACCACCACGACCAGATCCGAGCCCTCATCAACGTCAATGGTCAGTCCGGCTGGTCAGACTCTGAAGCTTTGGGTTACGTCTTTGGGACGTGGGGGAAAACGCTGCTCTCTGGTCCCTCAGACAGGCTCTTTGCCAGCGGTTCCCACGCGGGCGAGCTGATCCTGTGGGACGCGGTGGACTGGAACAACCTGGCCTACGAGCACATCCTGTGGGAGGAGTCGCAGGCCGGCTCGCCCACGGAGATACGACTGGCCGCCCCCAAACCCAGCGAGATGTCCATTCAGCACCTGACGACCAACGGGCAGGTGCTGGGTTGTTTTTTCTGGCCTCGCTCCTCTGCTCTGAGTAGCTTTTAGCTAAACCCGCTCGGTCGGGAAAGCTCTGTTTCTCCAAACTGCTTTTGCTGTCTTTGTGTTTTCAGGCCTGCAGCAGAAAATAAGCAACTTTTCTTTTAGAGCTCGTAAAGAGTCCACCATTTCAAACATGGGATACAAATAGATTTAGACTTGGTACAAAAAAACTATACATGAAAGGCAAATATAGGCAGAGAATCTCCAGTTTTTCATGAAGTCTGTTTTTTTTAAAGAAGTTTTGAAGGAATATACATATTTTTTTTTGCCTCATGGCCAGGGGGCTGCTGTGGGTCCTCCTCTCTTGGCTGAGGACGCTCACATATGAAATGGGACGTATCTTGTTTGCGTGCTGGTGTGTAAAAGCGTGTCTTTGGCTATCGGGCAGTTCGTCCTGGCGGCGGTGGGCAGCGGCCTCTACGTGTACGACGTGGCGGCCAGGACGGTGGTGGCCTACCGGAAGGCGGCTCACGACTCCAACGTGCTGCACACCATGCTGCTCTCCGACAGGTGGGACCCGGCACACGCATCCACACATTTCCAGCCTCTGTTTTAACCGATTGGGGCATAAAAACGGTTCCAGTGTGGCTTCTTTTAAGGGCAGATCGGGTTCCCTGGCCCGTGGCCACGCTGGGCTCTGTGGGACCCCGTTTAAACCCGGCGGTCTCCTCCTGGCCGCCCTTGGCGTCGGCCTCATGTGATTTGCAGCTGCGGCCAGTTCTGCATTTAGCAGAACGTTTTCCAGGAATGCAGAGTCATCCAGAGCAGAAACAGGAACTAAGAGAAAAGCTCAGAAATAAGGTTGAAAAAAGACCAGGGATATTTCCCACAGCTGTAAATCACCCTGACATCAAACTCGTTAGTTTTACGCTGATTTTATTTCCGTCTTTTTCCTCCTTTTGCCTCAAAGCAGAATCTGTTTCTGATGGTTATTTAGTATTGCACTCACACACACGTTGAAATAAAATTTGGTGCCCTTAAACCATATAAAGGGACATTTTTTTAAAGCAAAATAGCAAACAAGATGCAATCCTGACTTGTGTTAGTTTCATGGAGCTATTTGTACACAGGTAAAAAGTAATTGACAGCTGTAAAAACTGTCTCCAGGCAATAGTCAGAGCCCAGTCATGTTTATCTGTGTTACCGTGCACTTAACCCTAAATTGTTTTCCCAGAAAGATGCAAAAAGGTTGAGCTTTGGAGCATGGACAGGGCACTATAGGCTCATTCAATCTTTTTGGAGGCTTTAAGACATCATTAAAGATGACTTTTGGATGGATTATCATAAACAATTGTTTCTTTCTAACATGCTTTATGAGATATTTCTCAGAAAAGATTGAGAATATTTGACTGTATTTGAACACTGTTTCTAATACCGTCCTAAAAGTCCCAGAAAAAGCAACAAAAAATGGACACGCGAACGAGCCTAAGCTGCCAGTCTCACCTAAATAAACCCCTGCCCCGTTCACATCTTAGATTTAGAGTTTTTTTGCTCTGGACGCGGTCCAGATCCAGAGTTCAGTCCTTCTGTTTGTCTGTGTCAGCCAGCTGATGTCGTGCTCTGAGGACGGCAGCGTGAGGATGTGGGAGATCCAAGACTTGCCTCTACCTGCTGAGCCGGCCTCCGCAGGTTATCACACACACACACACACAAACACACACACACACCCAGTGGCTTTAGTGGCCTGAAAAAGTATTCCGCAAGTGGTTTCAATGTACTGCAGATGGAGCAGCTTTCAACATCCAGCGTGTTTGGAGTGAATTTCTTACTCAAACAACAGTACAATTCCATTCTTATGGAAAACCGATCTAAAATATTTAGATTTGTATGGTCAAGCAGCACTTGGAATGACTTTCTTCTCGTCTTCATGTAAAGAAATAACCATTCTCATCCTCAGTATGAGGTCAAAGCTCTTTAATGTGACGTTGCGAGGCACGTTTGAGCCCTTCGTCACGTCGAACTCTTTACTTCCTGGTTTTCCGACAGGGTTTTTCGGGATGTGGACCTTCGGCCGGCCGAACAAACCGACCGCCCCTCCCTCCAAGAAGGTGATGGAGATCCCGACCATGCGGACGCTGGAGCTGACCGGGGATCTGATCGGACACTCGGGAGCCGTGCAGGTAGGAGCCCCGCGGCGGCACGGGTCGGGGCGGGGGGGCGCCACGCCGCGGGGCTTCAGCCACGCCTCTCTGTGCTGCTTCCAGATGTTCCTCAGCTTCGGGGAGAACGGCCTGGTCACCTGCTCCACCGACCACCTGCTGATCCTCTGGAAGAACGGGGAGAGGCAGGCGCGGCTCCGCAGCCTGGCCCTCTTCCAGAAACTGGAGGAGGACGGGGGACTGTAGGACCCCGGCAGTCACCAACTGGCCTTCTGACTGAAAACTAGAATGTAACAGAGACAGTTTAAAAAAACACAAAGATACTTTGCGTCAGAAATCTTCACCAAAACCACATTTGCCAAAAAAAGAAAGAAAAAAGAACCTGCTGTGTTTTTGTCCCTTTAGTTGTGGTTGATGTATTTTTGTCCTGTTTTGGATCATATTTGGGTCAGACCTCCCTCTCCTGGACGTTCTTGGAGGAGGGATGTCCCTCAGATGATGCCGGCTGAAACACAGGCTGGGCCTTTTTACTCTGGCTGGTGGAGTCTGGAAATAAGTGAATAAATGTCTACATTTTGAGTGTGAGCTCTGTTGTGGGATGCATGTTTTCTTTGGTTATCCCCCCTCCGGTTTGCATGCTACGTGGCGCTAAATAAAGAGCCTTTCCTGGTCGTTTGGTAGCATTCGTCTGGACCACCGTCCTCTTGTGCAGAGCAAAGGATTCAGATGTGCTGAAGCAGGAAAAGGTCTAAAGCTGGCAGGACGGCGGCCCTCCAGGAACAGATGTTGAGATCCCTGGTGTCGATTCCCAGTAATCCAGGGCAGCCTTCTGGAGTTTCAGACGTAAATGTACGACTGAGATAACTCAGCTCAACGGGTTGGATTTCAGATATATCTTTATTTCAGTTCTTCCTCATTAAAATGAGAATTCTAAACATGTAAGTTGAACATTTCAGATGTCTGAAATAAGATTCTTACTGGGACAAACGACATCACACGAGTGGTATTATGGAGTTGTGAAGTTTCAGATGACCAAATACAGAACTAGAGGTCAACGTTATACCCTTAAAAAGGTTTATTTGGTGTCCACGTTTTATTGTAGCTGGCATTTTCCGGCCTTCTTCCCAGTCAAATTATGAATAAAGATGTCCTCAAGTTACAATTTCTGGCAGGAATTCACGGTGCAGCTGGAGACACCTAATTTTTTTGGTGTCAAACATTTTGTACTGAAATTAATTTCTCTGAGTGGAAACAATTGGACGGAATGTCTGAAATGAGAGATTCTCCATTTCAAATAACCAGAATGCTCATTTTGAAGAGGATAATTGTAATTCTACACGTTTGAAATGCCCATCTTAGAAAGGAGGACCTAATAAAGTCTGTCTGAATCATACAACGTATATGAAAATGGATATATCAAGAGATAATGAATGAATCACAGCTCCATTTAGAAACAAATGTGTTTCTCCGGTAATAAAACTGTCATGTGTCGAAGCGGTTTCCACGGGTTGTTGATTTTCTCACATTCATTAAAGCTAAACGATGACACAACGTCTCAGGGTCTGATTGGGCTGCTACACAGCAACTGTCAGTCTGACAAAGTTGAATCAACTTTAAATGAAAAAAAAATAAATGAGGGACGAAAGAGTGTTAACCTTTGCTCATATATCAGAATTCACTACTTATACGGGTGCAGTTAAAGTCCTCGGAGGTTTGCCTAATGAATATAAATCATCTGATTAGGTTGCTGCAGATATTTTGTCGTCCGACTATAAACAATGATTAAAATGAAAATGAGCTCATTTGAATATTTAAAGGCTTGATAATATGACCAGATTACATGAACAATTAGCCGCTCCTTCTTTGATGACTTGTCAAAACGGATTGCTTGTGCTTTTCTCTCCACAGCTCCAGATTTCTCCACAATCCAAGGCCTCTCGGGCCTCAAAACTATCCGGAGTCAGCCGAAGACTCGGGGATAGACAATCTGTTATCTGACAGGCTTTTGTCCAGGGAAAGAGCTCAAATATAATAAATATAAAATATAATTTTTGCAGTGACTGTGTTACCCCTTATGTGGACTGTTCCACTGGTTTGGGTGGGGATGAAACTCCAATCCTATTCATGACTAGAAATCTTCAAAGATTAGCAAAACTATCCTCTCGTGAGATCAGTGATAGCAACTACGAAACACTCAGAGCTGGAGCTGCAAGTCAAGGGGAAAAAAAAGAATTCTTTTTTTTTTTTTCTTCAGAGATTTTGGAAATGAATTCAAACATTAAACATCCAACACAAAAGATACAGTAAACTATGTAAACAGCAAAGCAAAGAGGTGAGTATATACAGGAACAGCAGGTGCATTAGGTAGTTTACAGTGTATTGCAACATGAGGAGACCCAAACAGTGAGACAGGATTAAGGCTTTTTTTTCTCTTTTTTTCTTTTCTTAAGACCCTCAACTTGAAGACATGGACTATATCAACACACTGAACACGGATGTGACAACTTGAGTCTATTCAGAGTGGGTTTAAACCACTGAGCAGTAGTGGTTACCACTGGAGTCAGCTTCTGCCTGTAAAACATTCAGTTGTACAAAACATACAATAAAACTGACCCGCCAACTGAAAACCGACCTGGTTTTGAAAAAGACCTATGGCTTTTCTCGTCTTTTTTTTTTTTTTTTAAGAGCAGGGGAGGAACTAGTGCGACGGACAGTTTACGTCTAAAGATGACCAACGATAAGGCACCTGTGCGCAGCTCTCTGTGCCTTTGGTTAACACTGCAATGTGCGCCTGCTGGATTAATACACACATATGTACAACTCCTCCTACTTCGGCCCTCTGATATCATGACAAGAACTTGGAAAACATTACATAATCTCACAGCAACAGTGGTTTATGGGTATCAGTTTCAGCCTGTAATCTCTTCCTCTGAGGATCCTAAAGCTGGATTTGGCTAGTTTCAATAATGTTTCATCGAAAAAGCAGGCGGGGAGATGATGGCCTTGATGGTAAAATGTTTCATTTGCATAAAAAAGAAAAAGAAGAGGACTTTGATTGATCAATTATATATTACCAAATATGGTGGGTGAGTGAGGAATTTCCTCTCTGCCTTCCTGGACTGATGTCTCACTGTGCATCAGTCCTTTAAGGCCACAAGGGGGCAGGCATGTCATTCAGATCCTGATCCCTTTTCTTTTTAGGCTTCAAATCAGAAAATAAAAAACAAATTTACAATCATATTCCAAATGATTAGAAGCTGAATTATTTTATTCATTAATTTGTTTTACAGGGCTTTGCAAATGTCTCTGGGGGAAAGGGGTGGGGGGGTTTGGGGGTATGATTCATAAATGCTATGATCTGATACACAATGAGTTTCTTCTTTCTTGTGTGTCTACAGTTTGTGTCACAAAGCTATGCTGGAAAAAAAAAAAAAAAAAAAAGGAACACCTAAAGGCTCGGCCTCCTCCCCTCTGGCTGCTTTCACAGTGCACGGATGGCGGCGACATAGAAGAAAAATCCAGCTATGTGCTGTGAGGTGAGACATTTCACAACCTGGGTATTTCTCTGCAGCTACAGGAGCCTAAAACGCAGCTTTTTTTCCACAGTATACAGCCCCCTCACGGTCCCGTTTCTGCATGTGGAAAAGCAGGAATTCCCTGGTACTCCCCAGCCTCCCGCTATCTTTAATGAGGGACGGAGGTCGGAAGAATTTGGTCCCAAACACGGATTGACATGTTTTTTGTAAGTATAGTTCCTGCCGAGCACCTTCGCGGGTTTGCTATGAAAAGTTGAAGACGGGAACTCCCATCTGCTGAGAAGCGTTAGCAGAGGCTTACAGTCAGTTTCTGGCTTTTGTCACTCTTTCACTAAGCGGTTTGCAGTGACATACAAATATAAAATGAAGCCTTTTAATTAAGAACATTTAGGTGCGAAAAGCAAACGCAGCATAAAAAACAAAAACAAACAAACAGGAGCTCTAAATTAAAAAGTTCTCGTTCAGCTAAAGTGCAGGTTTTCTGGTGTGTTACATGTATGGTACGGATTGTCGCGGGAGCCATGAGGTCCACACAGTTCCAAAGAGGCGCCGTAAGAAATAAGAGGGCCCACAAAAGCGGCAGCCGACAGTCACCGGGGCCCCAGAATACCTGTTCTCTGCTCATGTCCAGCTAGAAGCGCACCAAAAAGGTGGAAATATCTCCGGTCAGTGATTGTCCGCCCTTAAGAGTCCCAAAATGTTCTTTTTTTTTAGCTGAGTCCAGGGACGGCGTGGGCACAGGGCTTTAAATCACAGCCGTGAAGACTGATTGTTCCACGGCAGGGTCCGCCGTCCCATCATCTGCTGTCCAGAAGAGTTAGATGAGAGGGTGAGGTCAGGAGGAAGGAGGAGGACGCAGGCTCTTACACTTCATCTCGTCCAGGGTCTTCCAGTACTTGTAGTTCTCCGACAGGTGTTCCATCAGACCGGGAAGGCTGGCAAAGGCTGCAAACACACACCAAAGCTCGGGTTGGTCAAAGGAAATAAAAGTATATGAACAACTTCTAGATGGAGTTACATGACTTTATCCATTTGATTCAGGAATCACTGAACAAACAAATCAAAGGGGCTCTATGCATTTGAACAATGAAATTCTAAATATTTCCATTTGTCTATTTGATTGTTAAAAAAAATCGAATAAAATTCAGTATAAATGGAAAAGTGAAAATGGTAAATATAAGCAGTTCATATAATTTCTGAAATGTGTACGAAGAAAACAGCAGAAATTTGGTTAAAATGCAGTTACTTTCTAAGCAAATTCGGCAGCTCATAATTATAGATGGCAGTAAAAACGATACATGTAATTTTTACTACAGTAATGTTATTGTCTATAAATGTTGAACCAGTTTATCAGAACGTGTTTAGGTCAGGGAACAAGATGATGCTTCAGAAGTCCAAGCCAATAAGATAAATAACTCAAATAAAGTCAGAGCGCGGTTAATCTGGGAACACATCGGGTAATGACCGCCTCAGAGGGCAGCGCTCGCCGTCTCTGGGCTTCCGGCTCAGCCACCGGATGTCTGAAAAAAATGATCTGAGGCCAAGACAATGATTTTTTTTCTAATCTGCATGTCTGTTTAAATATGTGCAACAAAACCGTGTCAACGCTATTCCAGCCTCTAATGAAAACCAAAAATATGAAACAGCAACAAACAGATGTTTGTTTATGGAGTCTGGATCAGTTCGTTCTTTATGAGTCACTATGACTTGTTGTTTAGTCTTGTTTTCTGAACTAAATATAACTCAATGCTCATTAGAGAGTTTTAAATATCCAATATCCATTAAAAGTAATAAAAAACTGCATTATGACATTTACAGACATTCAAAAATATACTAATAACAGATGATAGTTGTATGAAACAACATATTTATGTTAGTCTTCTTTGTAAATGGTATTTATTTTTAATTAAACTATGTTTTAAGAATTTACTTGAATAATATTTTTAAAAAATCAGTAATGACTAGTATGAGTTAATGATGTATTACTAATGTACTCATACAGCAGATGTGCCTTTTTTAAATTCATCTGGCATTTCTTTGAATTTTCCTTTTGTCTGTTATCAATTCATGGATTTTTTTTATTGTTCTGGAATGTTTTTATTCCAAATTATGTAGCTGTGAAAAGATGCACAGAGAATTTAGAAATATATTTTCAAGTGGATACAGAAATAAATGCGCTTTGTGAAATAAACTGGAAATAATAAAAAAATAAATCTCAGAATCAAAAACTCCATTTCTGTTAATGCCAAAGCGACCAATCAGGAGAGAGCTGGAGATAGCACCAGGAGCCGGGCGGCATGTCGGGTTAGGTTAGCCGGATCCTTTAGCTTTTTCAGCCCCATCGAGCTGCGATGAGCCGACGTGACCTTTAAAGGTCAGCTGGTCAGTAATCGGGACACCACGGTTTCTGGACGGAGATTTGGTTTGGATCTGAACCCAGCGGTGTGGGCTTTGTTTGGCCGGGGAGACGGGCAGTCCGGTTTCTGACAAATTTAGTTTGAGGCCTTCATCCGCTTTGATGAGGCCGTGCGGTCATCAGGTGGACACGGCGGAACCGGCCGGCCGTGGTCAGCGTGGCGGCGTTCCAGGACCTCTGAGAGGTCTCTTCCTCTCCGCCTGCGTTTCTCACACACAGAGAGTGTGTGCGCGTCCCTAGTGTGCGCCCCGCTCGCCGTTGTTTACATCCCGGCTTCCTGCTCGTTAGACCCGGGCCGCTTCTCTGACCCCGGCCGCGAACTCGCACTGACCCCGGTCAAATGAGAGCGGCTGTGTTTGTGTTTTCTGTTTATGTATGAAGTGAAGTTCTGCTTTTCTGCCCGTCCAACCATCCGAACCCCCCCCCCCCCGACTTCCTCCCCTCTGATGCTCCGGCAGATTCTCCCCCCTGTCCCACTGCTATTCCAAATCTTTCCGTGACATCAGAGGCCGTGCTGACAGTAAACAAGTTCCCTCTCGGGGAGTCTTAACTAAGAGGGGAATTCAGTGGGAACGAGGGGCCAATTCATGTACTATAATAGCCCCTCCCGCCCACCTTTGCTACACGTCTTTTTTTTTTTGGTTTCCATCATGTCCTGCAATCCGCCACGAAAAAGAAAAAAGAAAAAAATCAAAGCATCACTGGACATCAGTGAAGATACGCCTGCAGGAAACCGAACACAAGGGCGGTCATTTAGAGCTCTGGACTCTGTTTCTGCTTCATGTAGCCAAACACGGGTTCATCTATTGTACACGTCCCAGAGAGAATACAGCATAACCCTCACTGAACAGATCCATCTGCCGCCCTGAAAAAAAAAGGGAAAAAAAAAAGCCGCTTCTGGGGAGATTGGCATAGACGATTTGAAGATATTTACGTTGGCTTTTATCTCGAGCAATTGGATTTTTGTGAAATAGTAAGTGAGCCTCTATCCAAAGACCACCTGTCCTCTACAGGCTTGATTTTAAGACCCCTCTGGGAGATTTATAACCTCATCTGTATTTCTTTTTTCACCATTAAAAACCTGCCGTGGCCTTAAAATGGAACATAGAACATAGGGTTTCATTGCATTTGCGATAAAAGGAATAAATTAAGTTTGTGTTGTAGTTCCAGAGCTCAGAAACATTCGTTTCAAGAGGCTTAATGAGATTGGAATCTCTATCCATTATTTAAGGGTTGTGATGATGATCTACTCCATCGAGCATGAGAGAATATGAGTCCAATCTGCATAGATGCACATTTATCTCTGGCTTAGACTACTCTAATGCAGCAGATCTCTTAAACGTGGTCCAGAACGTGATGGTGCGTCTTTTTGGAAGACTGGCTGCTCATCTCATCCAGGATCCAATTCAGGTGACTAATATTGGCTTTTAAGTTGCCTCCAGGTTGTGTATCCAGCATGCAAACTCCCTAAAACATCTTATTTTCCTACTGGACCAAACCATGTGGTCCCTCCATCCCTTTTTCTAGAGAAAGTCCCAGCCCAGACTCTGAGCAGGAACTTCCTTCCTCTTTAAGACTCATCTCTAATCTCCTCAGTCCTCAACTCACACCTGTAACAACCCAACACGGACTCGTTTGCACTTCTGCGCTTGTCCTAGTTTTACTCTGTCATCTGAATAGATTTAACCTGATTTAACGCCTCATATAAGGACCTTTTGTTGTTCAAATCTTGTTTTCCTATTGACTGGCGTCTCATTTCCATCAGAAATTTGAGCTTACAGCAACTCTGAGCATACAGGATGCCACTTCTTTTGGCTCAAAAAAATCTTATCAACATGTTAGACATGTTGAAGATTTGTATGCTATTATTGAAGATATGGCAGGGGTTCGTGGGTCCATAGTACACAACTCGTCTACAGTCAGATCGCTTTGGGTGAGCAATCGGATGCTGTTGGATATTCCAATAAGCAGGCACAGAAATAGAGGTAATCATGCCTTCATGGTGTTTCCTCCTAATCTCTGGAGCTGCTTACAGTATCATAAAAGAGCTGCTTAACTCGCCATAGAGGAGTCGCATCTTCTTTGGCCCTGTTTACGCGCAGCATAACACCAAGGCCTGGTTCTCCTCGTGTTGTATTTTGTTTCTATGGAAAGTCCCTTTCAGAACATGTACCCAAGGCTTTTGTTATTTTTATATTGCGTAGCTCCCAATTTTAGCAGGATTTCTGACTTTTGCTGTTAAATGGGCTGTAAAAAAAGGTTACATATAAGATCACAAGACCTTTTTAGCTTGCTGGCTACAAATTTCTGCCCGAAGAAAGTTTATTCAGACTAATCTGTCTCATTTGAACAAGTGAATGCAGAGTTTTAAAGAAATTACAGACGATGCTGCTTAAGCATGTGTTGTAAGAGTAATGGAGCATTTTTCTTCATTTTAGAAGAAAGGCATGGACTAAATAAACGAGTCAGTGAGCGTAGCCGGGTTTTAAAAAATTAGAAGAGAATGTGAAGAAACTAACTCATAAGAGGACATGAGAGGAAGGATGCTTCGGAGTTTTAGAAAGCTACTTTAGATCATTGACATCTGAGTGATTGACCTCACTTTGGAGGCTAACCGGCGCAGCCAGGATAATCGCCCGTTCATATGTGGAGCAGAGCAGCCCGCATGAAACCGACACCGCTTCCAAAAAACACCAGAGAAAGAGCGCAAAACGCCGCCCTTACCGTCCCAGGCGTCAAACATGTCGGTGATGAAGTAGTCTATGAAGGAGATCTGGGATTTGGGAACGCTGCAGGTGTTCCGGTCAAACACGGGCATCACCACCGGCAGCCCCTGTCTCTTCTCCTCATCCGTCTGCAGGGAAACGCCCGGAGAAAAAGGACAGACACGTGAATCACCACGCGAAGAAGCAGCTTCCCGAATGAATTCACGAATGATCCCAGTTTTCCTCCCACACCTGTGCAAAGTACTCCTCGGAGATCCGGCCGGCCCACTCGATGCAGAGCTCCAGCGGCCTGCAGGGGTTGGCCACGTCCGCACACTTGATCAGCATCCTCTTGATCAGCAGGCGGTTCTCCGGAGAGTTCCGGATGTTAGCCTGGCCCTCGCAGTCACTGTTGATGCTCTGTTGGGAGTACATGGCAGAAATGAGCATCTGCACACAGAAAAGGCCGTCATGGTGCCGTTTGTACTCTGGTTCAGCGGCCCATCGACAACCTGATGCCAGACGTGTGCGCGGTCTCAGTAATTACCAGGAAAATAAAATCTAGAACTGACCAGGTCGTGTAAAGCAAGAAGATTTACACTTTTTTAACATAGGATTCACACGATTTAAAATGTGCTTGATGAATTATTGACTTTTGTTGTGTTCTTTTTCATTTGGATGTGTGAGATTAAAACAGTGATAATGCACTTTTCTGCTAGCTCCAAAGATCAGGGCTGTCTTTTATGTTGTAGATGGGAAACGTGTAAGAAAAGCTCCATTTGTCGCTAATTTAGGTGGACTGAAGAGAGCGATACGCAGCAGGAAATGATTGCAAACAGTTATAATGGACTTTGCTTCCAGTGAAGTGTTTGTTCCGTCCATTAGATTAGCTTGACCATGAAAAAGGATCATCCAAAATCATTAAAAAAAATAAAAATTGATTCCAACTTCTATTCAAATCAACACAGATTTGAAAAAGTCTGTGAAAACAGAAAGGAACTGGACTCAAAGCCCTAACATGAGTCGGACACTTACACTGGTGCTGGTCTCCTCTATGGCAGCCATTGGCTTGTTGATGCTGTTGACGAACTTGCTGACGTGTTCAAAGTGTCGGGTCATCTCCGTGGCCAGAACCATGTCGATGATGGCCTGTCGCAGGGTCCGGAACTGATTCCTGTTAGACCGGGGAGAGGACACAGAAGAGTACCGATCAGTCCACTACTGGATCACCAGCTCCACATGTATGATCTGAACTCCATTTTATAAACACGTTTGGCCATCGCAATGTGACAATTTCCACATAGATTGAAGATAAATATAAGTTTAAGAAGAAAAAAGAAAAAGCAGAGGAAGACGTGCATTGTCCAGACCATGTGAACACACATTTTGGGCTAACTTTCCCTGATATAAAAGGGGATAAAAACAGGAGACAAAATATATGAGCAATTTCTGATAATTTATTTAAGATATATATTTTCTTGAACAACCTTGCAGGCTGAAACTTTTTGTAATCTATCAATAACCTCAGTGTTACAGCTTTGTGCAGAATGGCTGCAGAGCACGTGTATTTTCCGCCGTCCTTTCCTTTTCCCATTCGAGCCAAAACCCAGACGGCTCCCGACGGTTCAGACTGACCGGTCGATGTTCTTGAAGATGTTGCTCTTGTTGTCGCGGATGGTGAGCTGGAAGGCCAGCGCGGCGTGGTGGCTCTCCAGCACGGCCGTGTCGTTGTACAGGATGGCCAGCTCGCTGCCCGCGTTGCACAGGAAGGAGTTGGTCCGGCCCGGGTGGTCCACGTCGTGGACGGTGGCCGCGATCAGGGCCGCCACCTCATCCAGCTGGTCCAGACTGCTCTGGAGAAGCAAAGCAGAGACGTCAGGGCCGGACACACACACACACACACGCAGATGTTAGCACAGACTGATAGGACATCATTAACAGATTTCCAGTGTTCCTGTTTAGGAGTCTTAATGATTTTTCTTGTATTTTCTTATATTCGAGTACTTCCTGTCTGTGCTATGCAGATGATATTCATCTGTACATTTCCTTTAGAGCCCAACATGAGCTACCTTTGGATGCTCATGTTAAATCTATGGTCGGTTTTAGTTTTTAAATCGCTTAAGAATATTGCAAAGTTCAACCCCATCGGGCCCCATGCTGATCTTAAAAGAGTTATTTACGCTTTTATTCAATCATGTCTGAATCAGTGTGACTCCACGGACCCTCTGCTGACTGAGAATTCACAGTTTTCCACTTTCTTTTGGTTAAGTTAACATCTACCAGTGAGTTTTATTTTTAGGAAAGATTCTAAGCTGGTAAATCCGCTCTTGACCACTGACGAGATTGGCCGATTAACGCCAAGCTCGGAATGACAAATAACCGACAGGTTTTCAGTGCGAGGTTCGAGAAACGCGCTCAGATTACTCAGGTTATTTATGGGGTTATTTATTCTTACACTTTGTTCTCAAGTGTAAAGCCTTAAGATTATTTTACTGGACGAAGAGGGCAGAGGATGAAGAGTCACGGCAAGTGTTACTGATAACCCCTGAGGAAGAGCACCAGAACTCGCCATAAAAAGTCTAAAAAGCTCAGAGTGTGGAAGCCAGGGACAGAGATTATGGCCGAGGCTTCCAAAAAGGTTATTTTCTTAGCGTCTACTTTTGTTACCAGGGAGGCCCAAGCGCCCGTTTGTGGTTATCCGTGGTTCGGTGTGGGACCTGTCCGCTAACCTTGACTCTCTCCTTGCGCAGGAAGTAGGCGGTGGCGTGCAGCACGTCGGCGGCGTGGGTGGAGTTGTGGTAGGAGTTGGAGGAGTGGTAGCTGGCCTCCATGAGCTGCAGCCAGGAGCGCAGCGTGGCCTCCGAGCAGCTCAGGAAGTCGCACACGCCGAAGCTGGTGAAGATCTTCAGCCCCAGGTACGTCAGCGGCCTGGGGGAGGGGTCAAGGCAAGCATGAAGCAAAGAGCCAGAGCTTTACCCTGTTTTAGCTTAATCATGGTGCCTTTCCCTTTTGTCCCTAAACTTTTATAATACGATCAAAATGAGCATCTCCATTTCCTCCCCTGGAAAATATTACTCATTGCTAATGTTCTGTGTTTGACCAACGGGGGTGATGTAGTTGAGAAAAAAAACTGTCTCTGTGAGAAGAAATACTGCGAAACGAACAACATGTTGTCACAATTACAGGATAGGAACAAATGAGCTGATATTAAACAGGGTTAGGCTGTAGTGGACGGACTGGATCCCCGTTTAATCTACCTCATTAAAGCAAATAAGCACTTCTTTACTTGAGAAAAAAAATCTATATTTGAGGTTTTTCCAACATCTGGAGAAAGAAAGAGCCGATTGTCTGAGCCGTACTGGTACCTTTTATGTGTGGCCGTCTCCAGCTCCAGAATGTTGAACTCCCAGCACTCCTCGTCATTCAGCATCTCCGCGATGGATGGAGGAACATCGTTCAAAGTAACAGGGATGGCCAGCTGGCTCTGGCTCATATCTAACAGGCAGACGCACACAATTCAAAGCAATTATTCAACCATAAAAGGGGCAAACCAAGGATTCTCTGTGGGGGGTTTGACAGATAATAAAAGACTGCAACGTTCTTGGCTGTGTGACGTTCGTACGTTGTGTTTTAAACATCTGCAGAGGAAAGTCAGTGTGATCTTTTGGAGGACTTTGAGAACTGGAGCTTTTGACACATTCTCAGTCTCTTGACTCAGATCTTCTTCCTCTTAAGCCCTCTTACAAATCAACAGAATTGCCAGAACACACAATATACATGAAGGTTGATGGTTTTTTATTACAAAATAAACTTTCTGAATTGATTTTCATTTTTCGTTCCTCTTTTTTCCTAATTTTTATTCCCCAATTCTAAATCCTGATCAAGCATTTGACTTCAATCTCATCTTTGTTGGACACAGTGTGACGGGAGAACCTTTAAAAACTTACTTTTGCAGAAAACATACTCATTTCCAGAGAGCCTCCGCAGTCCATCCTGAAAGGAAAATGTCCTCTTTAAGTTTCAGGGCTATTATTTTCTTTACATTACTGAAGATCAATGATGCAGAAAACAGATTTTTAGAACACGGTTCCATATGTGAAAGATCTTTTCGTGGAGGAAAACTTTCAGAAGGAGCACATCTGTGAAGCGACCTGCTTCATTCATTCGGATTGTTAAACTAATTGAAATTGAATAAACAAAAAAGGATTTCCTTTCCAAGAGTACATATTTGATTGGATTGAGGAGGCCAAAAGTGAATTGGCACAACAAGAGTAAAGGTTCAGTTTCATCCACACAATGAGGTAAGAATATTTTTACATGATAAAGCAAAGGCTATGTTTTATTCAACTAATTTATATCAAGAAGTCAAAGTTTTAAATAAACTCTTACACTCATTAGCCCCCCGACTAGGTCATTGGTGTGGGGATCGTCCTCCTTTGAGGCCAGCTGAGGGGAGTAGAGCTCAGTGGTCCTGAGGATCTCCAACACACGGTCCAGAGCCTCGGCCACAGTGACCGGACTGCTTTCCTGGGCGGCGTTGATGATGTTTATTACCTGGGGAGGCAAAAGAAAGAAAAACAGGCTCCTTTCAGCTTAGAAACAAAAAGAGGCCTTTGCATGATGTCCAGCCGGCCAAATAAATCTACATCCTGACACCCCACCTTTGTGATGGGCGCCTCAATGGTCATTGAATGAATCCTGGCCACGGAGGAATATCTTCGGTTCTGTAAACTTGGAGCTGCAATTGAGAGAAAAATAACAGTTGTGAAATCCGGTGAACTGAATGGATTTTCATCCCTTTTTGTGTGCTAACGAACATCCTTAACACTGCAGATTTGAAGGGTGTAAGGCAACAAATGAGGAACGTTTGGTCAGCGTAGGATAACGGGAGAGCATCTTTTTAAGATGTAAACTTCTGGAAAGGACTAATTAATGGAAGATAAGGTCAATTAAAGGGTTTGACTGAATAATAAAGTAGGAGAGGAGGAGCTACATTCAGCCGAGGTACCTGAAAATAGCAGAGAGAGTTGAGGAGGGAGTTATGCATGTCATCAGCCCACGTCTCTCTTTAGGATCTCTTTAGCTCAAGTGCCTCCCATAACAGTCTGACTCACTCTGATTTGCCGTCTCTAATCGTGCCCCCCCTCTGCCTTTTGTTCCTGCCTGCATCGCGCCGCCGTCGCATTGATCTCATTGTGTCCCTGCATTGTTTTTGGCGCTTATCCGCACAATGTCTCAAACAAAAGCTCTTTTAAGGTATCAAAGGGGGATAAATAAAGCCTTTTTTAACAGCCTTACCGTCGCTGCCACGGGAACTGATCGATCTGCCGTCGATCGAGTCTTTCCTCCTGTCTCTGTGACGCAACGAGTGGCACTCTGTACAGGGAATTAAGGACACCCAATGGACATCATTTATAACATATTCTCTTTTTATTCAGTTTTGACCCTCAAAGTAACACTGGGCCGGATCTAAACTTCAGAATGAAGAGATCAGTGTCTTGTGGTTAGTTACCTGACTGAGGATGGTCTCCACAGTACCTCTCATCTTTGTTCAACTTGTGGACCTGAGAGATAAAAGGAAGAGTTGTAAGTTGGTTTTAGTGCCACCATTGGGGGGGAAAAAGCCTTCTCTGCTCCCGAAAGCTGCATCACTTCTCTTGATTAAAGACGAATAATAATAATAATCATGTTTTGAATAATTTAGTTGATTTTTCATGTCACTGTGGTGTTTTGGTTCATGGAACTCCAAAGATTTGAACCATTTGAACCATAAAGCATGCAAAGTTATTCTTTTATTGAATTTCTTTTACCAGTTCAAATAGTTTCCAGAAGCTCTTTGTCAGTATTCTGAACTCTAACACATCGACCTTACCAAGATGATAGAGTTTTGGATCTTTATGAAGAAAACTGATTAAAAAGTGTTTATAAATTCAATAAATGAAGAGTATCCATGAGACATCAGTTCAGATTTTTCATTCTCTTACATAACTCAGTTTTTTAAATTGGACTCCAATGGTTTTTTTTCTCGTGGTAGTGTGTCAAGTCCTTCCTGACACACTAACCAAACAGGATTAAAACAGCATAAACACCTCTAATGACACTAAACGCTGCCCGGCTGAGCTGGCTGAGGCTCCACAGCACAAACAGGCTAACGACCATCTTTTAGATTTTTTTTTACTCAAAGATAAAAAAAATGAAAAAAACAGGATTACTGACCCTGAACCTGATGCACGCCTGCTGTGTTTGGACATGAACTGCTAACTAAACGACACAATGAAATCTTGGACAGACCAAAATACAGAAAAAAATTAAATAAAATCAGGTTATTAATGGACGCAGAAGCAATTGCTGTTCACTGTTATTTTTTGGCCTTTGAAAAAATGATTATAAAAGGCTTAAAAATGCATTTGTTTGTGTTTTTTATGTTGCAAGATTTTGGTTGTGTGGGAAGACTTCTATGATTTGGAGAATTGGATCAGTTTATGTCACGTCGAAGGATTCTCAACCCCATCGAGGAGGAATGAATGCCACTTTTTTTTCCTTTTCTTTGTTTTTCTTTTTGCGGGCAGCTGCCAAAGGCTGACTCACCTTATGTACACACCACCGGGGCGAACGGTGAGCTAAAGCCGGGCCCTGTGCAGCCCTGCCTGGGTTATAAATAGCACTGGCACCTGGCCTCTAGCCTTCCCGGGCCTTAGTGGGGGATCCTGCAGCTTTGTTGTAGCTTAGCATAGTATGACGTTATTGGCCTGGAGCTTAGATGAGAGCAGACGCACACCTGCTTCAGGGTAACTTTGCACAGCGCTCAAAATGTTGGAGCTCTGTGAAATGACATCCCCCACCAAAGTATTTAAATCTGACGCTCTCTGACGCCCACGATGCGCTCACATGAAGCATTTAGAAAAAAGTTACCTGCCAGCAGTTTGGAATCTGGGCACGTTCAGGCCAGTGTCAGGGATTTCTTAAAGCTTGATTGGGGCTGCCCTCCCCAGGATGAGCATGTGTGAGCCACATCTCATCAACAGAGCATTAAACACCAAGTCTTTTGCATATGTCTGTTTTTCCACTGACACGTTTCAGTCGTAGTACATTGCTGCTAGCTCGGAGACCAGCCTGCGTTTTGTATGCTCCAACTCGCGCCTATTAGTAATGGCGGCTGTGTGGGTGCCAAGCTATTTGACTTTTCATTTAAAAGCTATGAATTGTTCCGAAATGGGTGAACAAGCCAGAAAAGTAACTGATGACTCAACGATGGGAGGAAATTATGAAAAAAAAATTGGTTTACGACTGTGCAGTACTCCAAATACGTCTTCAAAATAACATGCAATCCAGGTCAAGATATTTGGCTAATGCACCTGTATGAGTCTATTTCTGAAGACTTATAGATTTTAGGGCTGCTGAATAAAGTGAGAACTCACCTGATTATTGTTGTCAAAGTGAGGTCTCTTGATGGCTACAAAATGCCTTATTTTCCTGCAGAGATGACAAGCAGAGATCCATCAAAAATGTCAGATTTCCGGGAATTTTACAACGATTCGTCTCCCGGTCGCCGGCGCTTTGCTTACCCTCCTTGGCCAATGACGGGCAGGATCTTCACATGTTGCTGTATGCTGTCCCCCGACTTCTTCCTGGCGTAGTAGATACCCTGCCACTCCTTCAGGTGAGACACAGAGCAGCTGTGAACCTCTGCCTGCCTTCACAGGGCAGACGGGCTCACGGACGGATGGGGGGGGGGCTCAGCTCAGCTCACCTTTCCTTTCTTGATGCAGGTGTTGATTGTGTCCAGCAGGTCGGCTCTGTTCTTGTCACTCTTGGGGAGTTCGGTCAGCTCCTTCCCCATCAACTCCCCCCGGTGGTAGCCCAACATCCGCTCAAACGCCGGGTTCACGTACTGGAACGAAGCGAGTTCAGGTTTGAGCCACATTTAGTCAGCAGCTGTTTCATTTGTCTGCGCCATTTTAAGGATTCACGATGTCTGTTTACATCCATCATTTTGAGACCATTTACATGTTTAAATGTAACCAAAAAGATGTTTCTTTTTTTCGAGATTAAAGTTTAAAATTTACCAAGTGCACTTTTAGGTTTTTGGAGCAAAAATAAACCAGATTATTATGATTCGGAACCAGATTAGACTTAAATCCATCTATTTTAGGCTAAGTATCACCTTCTTTAGAGGGCTATGTTAAAAGCCCCCCCGGCACACTAACCCGAGGGAAACGGGCACCTTTTCATCGGCCCGTTCGAGCCAAACCTCCCTGCGGTTTACAGCGGTTCTGCACATCTGCACTGGCTCACGAGTCGGCCCTGATGTTTCTCCTCTGCGTGGCGTCTTTGATGTTGTTTTGAATTACCAACATTTGAGAGCCATTTCAACAATACGAAACAGACGTTGCGTGGGGGTCTCACAGACTCGAGACCATCTCCGCTTGAGTGTTTCTTACAGCGAGCACACAGTCAACGTCACGCTTCCATGGAAACGCGGATGCTCCGTCTCTAATGAGCCTATATGTGTTGATCTGCATACATTATATGTGTGTAATATCTCCACCTGTATTATGTGGTCCTCGCTGGTGATCTCAACCGCCTCCTGACAGTGCTCCAAAGCAGTGAAAACAGAGTTGCAAGCCCTGGGGATGAGGAAAGACTTAACATGACTTACAAAACCAGCGCCAGCTACGCAGTACGCCGTGTGAGTCTGCGTGTGTGTGTGCATTGCTGTGTGATGTGTGCATTTGTTCAGGGGGCTTTCTCGAGCTGTACCTGAGTTTGAACTGGCAGCGCACCTCTCCGTGTTCAATCTGTACGAGCTCATTGTAGCACGCTGACACGCTGCTGTTCTCCACAAACCTCTGGGGGGGGGACAAACAAGGTTAAGTGGCGTTTGAAGGAGAGGCAAATGAGTCAGAATTCGCTCGAATGCAAGCGTTTACAGCTTCTCACGTCGTTGTGACAAAAAAAAAAGAGCCTCGGTCAAAAGCTGCAAACATGCTGCTACTTTAGCTGGAAATCTCTTTACATTCATGTTAAAACCAGTGCTGGAGTAAAAATAAAATTAAAAAAAAAGCTGAAGGCTGGTGGACCTAAATCTGAAAACAGTCATAAGTGCAGGCGAGTGGTCGGACGTACTCTGCTAAATCCAGCACAGAGGAGAGGAAGAACAGATGGCTCCTCCTGGTCAGGCAGTCTACACAATGACAAATAAGAATTATTACCATCTGCAACCACAGTCATTTTTCAGAATCATGCTCGTAGACATCCACAACTACAGCATGTGCACAAAAGCCCCGAAAACATGGTTACTCCATCTGCCTTTGGATGGACTCCAGATTGTACAACAAATGCAGCAAATAACGAAAATATAAAACTTATTTTAGAGGCTGCAGAGCCTATTTTAAAGAGTTTGAATATCTGATGGCTTACTTTTTAGAGGGAGGACGACAAAATGCAACAGATGACATGAATTGAGGTGAATGCTAGAAAAAAAATATTTATTCTTATATAGCTCATCCAAACAATGACCTTTTGTGTCAGAGTTTGAGTCTCTGGGAAAAAATATTGCATTTTCAGGCTTAGACTACTTTATTTGAACTTAAATTGATAAGATTAAAAGCTTAGGCTTAGATTTGCAACCATGTTTTGGGGGCATTTTTAAATCTCAAATTGATATAACAGAGAATATTAACATTTGCTACTCAGACTTACTTTTGTGGCACGACAGCTAAAACGACTGTGTTTTCAGAGGGCTTTGTGGCCCGGATCATTCTGGAAACGAAGCAAAAGCGGAGTCAAAGTCAACAGAAGTGTCGAAAAGGGGGGGCTCGATTCATCAAGTGGCTGGGCCTCAGGTGGAGGATAAACACGTGGGCAGGGCGGGGGTGATGTCATTGCCCACAGAAGAGGGGCAGAACATTTCTGCGCTTGACACAGAAACACCAAACACAACATGTGCATTAGAGGTTTGGCCACAAAGCCACGCCGCTGGCAGGACGTACGGGAAAGTGGCGCGGAGGTGGAGGGGGGAAGGAGCGCGGAGGACTGAAGGAGGAGCAGAGGGAAGGGATGATGGCACGGGAGGAAGAAAGAAAGAAAGAAAAAAAAACCCTCCCGAACAAAGGACGCACATAGGAGCTGCCAAGCTGCGGTAATCAGGAGACAGCGGAGACAAATGGATCTGGTTCTTCACTTTGGGGGGAAATTATGGAGCCCTTAGGAGGAAAATCACTCGAGAAAATATAGCGCGGTGGCTTTGGTCAGCTCGTGTCTAACAATAACTGAAACACTGAGGAAAACAAAGTCGAGCGTCAGACAATGATGGCCAAAACCATTACGGCCCTTTATGGGTACCACAAAGCCACAGAAGAGGCGGCTGTTGTGGATTCAGAGCGTTAAGCTGCACCTTTACTGATGCTTTAAACCGACCGAGGCGGCCCAATACAAAAACCCGCACATTCATAATATACTTGTGGAACTTAACAGGATGTCGAAACGGTGCAAAATATCGCACTAAAAATACCTCCGAAATAAATCCCGAGATGCTCCCGTGTGCCAGGAAGTAATGGGGGACAGACGTACAGACCAGTATGAATTTAACAGCTGGTACAGAAACAGGGAGCAAATGAGGTTATTGTACAATAAAATGGGTCCGTGAAAAGGGGCCAGGGGCTTTTTCTGTGGAAAAATGTGTGTGGGGGGGGAAGCCCCTTATTCCCAAGAGCCACGGTCCAGCTGTCAAGTAAACAAACAAACTCAGTATGGAGCCTGTTTCTGATATCCTATGACTTGTGACAATCAGTTGTCTGTAGCTTCTTCCTAATTCGAAGCTGGGTTAAGAAATCTTCATTATGCTCCGAGCCTCTCTGAAGTTGGCTGCGATTCTCCCATCGGGCACCAGATGGCGGCAACAGGCCCTCCGCTGCCAGCCCTCCAGAGTGGGGCCATTTACAACGAAACTACACATCTAACAGCTGAATTTAAGCAAAAAAAACTCCTCATTTCTCGTCTAAATTGCAGTGAATGGTGATCTTTCCTTTTGTTTTGGTTATGAAAATCAGGGCTCCTTATTCACTTTCCAGGACGTAGTGGAGAACATAAAAGCCATTCTCATTCCTTTGGGTCACATGAAGCAACAGAAGCACAACTTTGCTTAGCAGAAGGCCCACAGACTATTAGACAATGACTTTTACTTTGAAAATTTGGATGTAATGACAAAGCAGATTACAGCTACGATGCCGTTGGATAGTCTGGAAGTAAAAGCTCACCGGCAGACGGCCTCGGGGTCAAAGTAGCGCGAGTGACGGCCGTCGATGACGACGATCTCGTGGTGTTTGTCCAGGAAACACTCGGCGGCGGACTCGGGCGTGGCTGCGATGTTGCATCTGAAGCCGGCGCGGTCGCAGGCCCACCAGAAGGCATCGCTCTGGCTGTCCTCCTTAGCAAAGACCAGCAGCACCTAGGGAGACAAACCGTTATGCAGACGGGCCCGTTTCATCAGCCAGAAAAACGCAACCCAATTTGGTATCGAGCATGCAAAGAACTTCGTCTCATTCCTTTAATCTTGGGCACAGGCCGGGATCATCTTTGTTAAAGGAAATGGAAAAATTCCATCCCTCCTTTCAGTCACATAGTCACTAAAATGGCATATCACAAATGGTACAATAACTATTTAACCATACCAGTTTTACATCCAAGTTTGCATTAAATTTACCAAGGTTTCAAACACATTCAAAGCTTTAACCAGCATTTGCCTCTGGTTTAACTCAATTTTTGATTATTTTTTCTCATTATTTTACATCTTTTGGCTCTTTTTGTGAAACAAATCCCATAAGTTTGCATCTCGTGTCCAGAAATTCCACTTCTGGCCGCTCACTCCGTGTGAAGTTTGAATCCATTTTCCAGTTGTCCGCGTATTTATGTCCCACAGTCCCAAGACACACGCAACCATCTCTGGAGAACTCAACCCTCATTAGCTGGGGGCTTATCTGTGGGCCCGTTTTCTCCGATAAGCTCAGCCTGTGCAGGGTGCTGTCTCTCTGATTTTACTCGGCGTGAACTGGGGAGCCACTTCGGCCCCCTTTGGGACTCTTAAAGGGGGGAACAAATGAAAAAAGCTGCTTTAAAACCAGCATCCTGTAAATGTCACGCATTCTCCCGCGGCGCACTGCTGCACCTGAAGCAGCCAGACGACAGTCCCAAAGAGCAGTCTGTGTTTTCTACCGTCTGACGTGAAACCAGTCGAGCGTGAACTGGTGTTTTGACCACCAACACACCTTTGGAACAGCGAGGAGAGGCGCTTAAAGCAGGGACACGCGTTCGCTTTAGTGCTTTGGGCTGCGGCCAGAACCAACAGCGCTGGGCTCGGCCTCCCAGCAGCATCCCCCCCCCCCCGGACTCGCTCAAAGGACAACAAAGGATAGGGTGACCTGTGGAGGGGCTGCGGACGCAGAGGGAAAAGATAATGGCCGAGAGAAACCGTGGCTCTATGGGCTTCCTGCGCTGGTTTAGACAATAAGAATGCGAGTGTTTCCACATTGTGACGGCAGAAAGGGGAAAACGAAAAACGGGAGAAATAGAGGCAGGAAAGACGAAGAGGACTGAGGCAGAAAACGGCGCCGTATTTGTGAGTGCCTGCGAAAAAAAAAAAAGGCCTGGGGCCTTTGATCCTGCGCCCGGCTTGTGTAACCATGGTGCTAGCATGTGAAATTCCACACGCGGAGCCGCCCGGCGGGCCCCGGGACGCCGCGGGGCCGCACACACCTCTGAGCCCCCGCCGCCCCCAGACGTCGCCCCCGACGACAGGCCCGGAGGCGCCGCGGGGCTTAGTGCCGCGTCAGATGTGCGTTCAAACAGGCGGGCGCGCTCGCACCGACATATGTGCGCCATAGCGCTCGCCGTAGAGGCCACGGAGGCTCAGCTCCACGCCGGGGCACGTGCACACGCCCGCGGATCGCTGGCACCGGCGCCCAGACGCTGAAGTTAGCGCGCAGCTGGCACGGAGGCTTATCTCCCCCCCACCAGGCCTCCGAGGCCTTACTCCCATTCCCAGCCTTATTTAAAGGAGGCCTCAGTAACATTTATTTGCAGATATACAGGCCTCTACAACTGGTGTTTACAAAAGGTATCAATGTAGTTAGTTTATCTGAATCTGGCCTCTTGAGTCTGAAACCAACTTTATTGACTATCAGTATGAACTGTACCTTTATCTGAGGTGTGCAGAGAAATGCTAACAGGTTAGCCCCTCTCAGAGGTTTAGGAAATGCCGTCAGTCAAATAATAGACACACAGATACATACTCAATTAGATATCCCAGAGGAATTCATTCTGACTTAAATAACTACAAAATAATACATATTAACTGATTAATTTAACACGTGTTTGCAGACATATTGCCTCATATTCCATTGATCGCCCAGATTTTGCTACATGTCGTCTTTATTTAACGGTTCTCTGAAGGAGGAGGTTTATGGGAGTCGAACAGCAGCTGCTGCCATTACAGGGCCGGTGCTACACCACACTGGATCAGATTTAAAGGTCTTCACAGAAGGAATTTTGGAAATGAGAAAATCTTCTTAGAAAAGAGCCAAAGATGTAATTGAGTCTCATCGGGATCTAGGAACACATCGGCCTATTTTCAAAAGAGGAGAGATTTCATCATCAGGCTGAGAAGGAACGGAAAAGTTTGGTTTGTAGAAATAATGTCAGAGTAAAGATTTGAAACTGCTTTGAAAGACACAGATTGTGTTGATAAAAACATGTAAAAGAATTGTAAGCATTAGCTCTTCTAAAGATTTTAACAAATGTTATAAAGTATTTATAATTAGTTTTCAAATAATTCTTTATATGTATGAAATATCCAGCAGGTAAAACTGAGAAAAAAGCTTATTTGTACCTTTTCTTTCCTTTGAATTGGAAAAAAGAAAGAAGGGGAAAGAAAGACTACATTTGCAAAGGGGTTTTGTAAGGATGCTTTTCAATATTTCTTAAGACAAACTGGTTTCTGAGACAAATATTTAACATGCAGTGAGCCGATTCGCAAAAACTAATGATTCTCTCTCCTTTCAAAGCAAATTTAGGTGCACGTCTTTGTTGTTATGAGGGAAAACAGGTGGTTCGAATATCTTGTGTAGGGCTTTCAGAGGCGATGATGCACATTTTCCACTCTCCAGCTCAAATCGATAATCAGGAAGATGGTCATCAGATTAATTCATGATGAAAATTGCAGCGCCACTACAAAGCGGAGGGAGAAAGCCGTTAAGTGAATGGGCTCTGCGAGCGCGCTTTTCCTCACGCAGAGGACGGCCTATAAAGCTCGGCTTTGTAGATTTGAGTCCAGCACTTAAACATTTGATACAAAGCCCCTTTTACGGGGTTAAAACATCTGAAACACAACACATCGAGACTCAGTTCTAGCTTTTATAATGAATGCTGGACTATCAAACTGTATTGAAGACATGCTGTGTATGCATTTTTAATCATAAACAGAATAACAGAAACCAGTTTGCCTCTAAGAGACTGCCGACTTTGCATTTAAATGATTAAATAATCACATATTTTTCTTGGGAGTGTTGACCTATGATGTATGCTTAAACACTCGGTGACAAAACAAATCCTGCTCGGTTAATAAACACAGCTGTTGTATTACCAGATTTTTAATAACTGTATTACACACACACACACGTGCGCTTGCAAAATACATCAACAGGAATGTTTTTCGTGGTTCTCATTCGCATCACGGCTGAGCTTTCAGGAGAACTTGAGATTTTCCAGCTCCGTTAGGCTGCAACAGTAAATGTCATGGAAAAAAAAAAAAAAAAAAAAAACTCCCAATATATGGCTCTCTCCTGCCGGGGCCTTTTATCTCCCTTTTTCATCTTTCCTCTCTCGTGAGAGGGGCGTAGCGGGAGAGGGTCGGGTCAGGACGTGGATCCAGCAGCATGCTGGAGGTACGACTGCAGTAAAGAAGGTGCAGGTTTCGGGGGGTGGGGGGGGGGGCAGCCCCTGGAGTTTTATGGGGAAAGTCTTTTTAATAAAGCCTTCCACCTGCCCGCATACAGCCAGAGACTCCTACTACAATGCTCTCTGGCTTGCTCAGTAAGAAAGGGGAACATGAACGTGAGCGGCATGCCAGGCTTCTGAGGCTGAACTCAGAAACCTCTGGAGTTGGAGCAATCGGCACGGCTCAAACTAGAGCAAATCAAATCAAGGCAATAAACCGGCACCCAATAAAAGCGGCGCGTTCTGAGGAACGCCGTGCGGCGCTCGCGTCCCGACCGGCGGCTAACCTCCAGGAGCTTTACTTTTCTTCGTTGCATAAGGATAAATCTTAGCAGCACATGTCCTAATCCCAACCAGAGGATGAGCCCCAAGCAATCCCCGACTCAACCCTGCCTAACCTTGCGATGGTCCAGAGTTCTTGACGGGGAAATTAAAATCCCATCTATACTGACACGATAGGGGACACACAAGGTGTCTGCATGGTCTGCGCGGCCACGTTCATTAGAGTGCTACATAAATACAAGGAATTCAGAAAATAGGTCACCAGGGATAAACTCCAGATTTAGGTCATATTACGATAAGTGCAAGATTCAAATCCGTCCATTATTTGAATTCAGAAAATCAATGTGCACACAAGAGACAGAAATCTGTTCAAGGTATAATCTTAAGTGGAAAATCTTAGAAGATATCCACCTAACCCAATTCAAATACCAACATTTTCCTCCGTTTTCCAGCCACATCATAAGCACACCAGCAGCTTTAATAAATGCTTATTTAATTCAGTTGGGTTTTTGCCCTGTTGGCTGGACTATGCAACGTTACTTCATAAATAGAAAAATGTCTAATTTTAAATAGGCCTTTGCATTCTTTTATTTTTTTAATAACCATATATGAAGTTAATTGCATTGGTTTCCCCCTTGTGGAACAATTATATTGGCAGAAAATTCCACTTTGACTCAAATCCAGCAGAAAAACATAAGCGTTTGATTTGAAATCTCTCCCGAGCTCTACTGGGACAGAGCATTTATATAAATATGGCATGAACAGCTAGAGATGGAAGAAAGGGGGTTATTGATTATATATGTAGCCATCTAGAAAAAAAAAAAAAAATCAATGTTTTCTTTTGCTCTCATGAGCATAAATAATAGATAAAAACCTTAATGTCATGAAAATATCCCCCTTTCTTCTAGTCAGAGCTCCTGACATTTGAGGCCTAATAAAAGTAGTAAGTTTTACGCTTACCTGAATAGGTTCCTGTGTCAGTCTCATTGGTCCGACACATTCTTCTGTAGAGGAAACCTGAAGAAGAAGTGAGAATGAGGTGAGAATCTTTTAATCTCAGGACAATTAACACCCATAAAGCAAAAAAAAAAACAACAAATAAATAGAGGAGCATACTTTTCTTACCATTTTACCATTGCCGTCCAGAAGCATACTGGCATATTGCTTTTCCTTTTCACAACCTCCCCGTTTACAGTTGCACTCGGGCACAATTTTAAATCCACAAAACGAAACACCTCCTCTTAATATCAGCAGCACAGAAATATTCCTCCACAAAAACGAATATCTGGACCTCCCCACGATCCCGACGGCAGCTTTTGTGATGACCTCTCCGCCACAGTGGACAGGGAAGCTGCCTGTAGAGCGCAGGCAGTCCGCTGCAAACCTCTTTGCGGGGTATTAACCGGCAGCCCCAGACCGCACACACACCAACACACACACACAGGTTTACCTGCGTAATCCCACAGAGTGTGTGTGTGTGTGTGTGTGTGTGCGTTTGCAGTCTGGCTGTGCAGCCTCTGGAGGCTTCTTAAACACTTGCGTCACCCAGCTGAATAGGCAACTCGGCCCCATGTGCGTGCACACAACCCCACGCGTGCACGCAACGCCACACACAATGACTCAGCGGGGCGCCGTGGCGGGATGTGCTGCAGCGGGGCGGCGTGTGCGGGTCACGTCTGGGGATTAGCACTCGCAAATCCAGTTGTTGTTGAGCAAATTTTGCAAGGCGGGATGTTTTTTGTTCTTGCCGAGAGGGCTTTGGCGGAAGGTGAGTCGAACACAGACTCACAAATCCTGGGAAGATGTTCCAAATGTCTATGCATCCAAAGAGAAAAAATCATTTCGATTTTTTTTCCCCATTTTTTAAAAAGCACAGGTTTTGGTGGTGGAGTTGACCTTATATTTCAACAAACTCCACTTAGTCGGACACGTTGCAGGAGTTTGTGACTCAGCCACTCGTCATCACACGGTGACATTGGTCAGCGATGATTCGGCTTAAAGGTGGACACATTTTTGCCCACGTGCAGATTCAAGGAGCCATGACAAATGACTGACTAACCGTCATCAAAAGCCCGTTAATTCGACTCATGAAAAATTTTCTATTTTGTTGTTCATTACAGCTTCCAACACAAACACTGAGACAGAGCACAGTGCAAAATAACCCAAACGTGCATCACGCCTGCGTGGCATCACGCTGTTGCTTTGTTTTCATGGCGTCTGAGAGGGCAAATGCTTCTTTCATTCTTTAATGATTAATTAGAAGATGCCCTGCACCCATTCATCTCTTTCACTGTGGCTGAGATCATTCTCCTCTTCATGAATGTGGCTAAAATAATGCATTAGTCAATCTTGGATATGGACCTGAGAGTTCCCTGGAGCTAATCCCACCTCATCCGGTTGTGGCTGAAGAAGTTGTAGTGCATAGACTTTAAATGTATTCCTCTTGACCTCTTCTTATCATTAACTCAGAAAATAATCTCGAGTTAAAAAGGTATTCAGTCAATTTGAGGAGGGGTGTAGATAATTCTGTGTACTTCTGTGGGGCTCCTCGTCTGACAATACTGCTTTGCAAAATGATCGGATTTAAAGAAAACAGTGACACACGCTGTTGGTTTTTAAGTGGACAGGGAAAAAAAAGAAAAAAAAAGGAGGTGGCGTTTGAGAGTTTAACTGTCAAACGCTGGATGGGCGCTGCTGGGATGGTTTAGGTGCGGTTTGATCCGCCTGGGCTGACGGCTCGGCCCCGAGGAGATGTCCTGAATCAAACGTTGACTCATGCGCAAAAGTGTGTGGTCCCATATGTTCAGAGAAGTCCCGCCCGTGCTAAACAAAGGAAAGGGGAACGATAAAAGAACAACCCAGAATGCTTCAAGTGAAGTAAACAGAACTTGAGTGGGAAGCTCGTCTCCTGCTGGGGTGTCATCATTTATCTTCATATTGGGAAGGCAATATGGCCATGAATAACGGGAGAAAAATGCTTTCTGGATCTGCCTCGTGGTAAAAACACAACTGATGATTATTCTCTGAATATGAAGTAGATGAAGACAGTTAAGAGATTTTTCCTCAAGATTAGAAGCTTGGTAAAAATCTTTATTTGACCGTCCTGCCAAGAAAAACAGTCTGCAATTTGAGCAAATGCCAAGAAAAGTTCTGATGGAAAAATATCCCCAACTGTGGTGTGCGCCATCGTTCTTAAATGGCATGAACAAAGAAACCAGAGTGACATTACGGAGCCACAAAGCCCACAGTGGGAGAACATCAGCGTTGTCTGTGGTAAAGGATCTATAAAAAAACAGGCATTCCTGCATCTGTCGGACAGTCGACCACGAAGAAGCAGAAAGGAAACAAAGAGGAGGCTCCTTGCAAGGTAACTGAATATCTAAAGTAGGAATAATGTTCTTAACATAAGCACATCTTTAAAAAGGAAAAAAACTAAAATACATTTTGAAAATCTAGTCATTAAGTCTGTCGTCCCTCCGTTTGGCCCCCCAGATCAATATGTGGTCAGTCCTGGGCCACGAAATCCAACAAACAGGAGGGGCTGAGTGGACAGAAAAGACCTCAATTAGCCAAACGGTTCGGCGTATCTTCTGAAGACTGTTTTTTTGCTGGTTTTTTTGCTGGCTGTGTTGTCACCGACATGTGGTCGGCGCGTCGTATCTGTTTGTCTCCTGGCACAAAGGCTTTCCTGGAAAGCCGGGCCGGAGTCACTCAGCTGTCACGCTGCGGTCTGACAAGACGTGAGCTCAGCCAGAGATGGTCCCAGAGGCTCTGGGAGCAAAAACACTAAATCCATTTGTTTTGGTTCAAAGACAAAAGACTGGTGCCGCAAATCCGAGGGGCTCTGAATCACCGCTGGGCAGGAGGCTCAGACCTGAAATATCGGTGCGGCCGAGGGGTGGCTGGACATGAGCAACTGCCTCTTAGTTTAGCAAGGCACAGCCAGATGTGACACGGAGGAGGAAGGTGCAGTTAGCGGATGACGGAGGAAGCGTAAAACCTTCAAACGGGAGGCCGAGTCGTCCTCGGAAACACAAGCGGGGAGAATAAATGCTGATCGGGATTCAAACAGGTGAGAAAGAGGGAGGAGCAAAAGGATGGAAACGGCCGTCTGCACAAAGGTGCTGAGAGGGAGTTTGAGGAACCAAGTCGGACCTCTTGTTGAAAGCTCATGAAATAAATCCAAGATTTACTCTTTGCATCAAGACGCTCGAAATGTGAAGAAAATGCACACCTGATGTACGTCAGTGATACAATGTGAGAAAACAAAAGGGATGTGCAGATTTTTTCGGCCTAAAGACAGAAACAGAAGTTATGCAATCTAAAATGAGCCAAACTTACACCTAAACCAGATTGCAGTCACTTGCACAAGAGTACAAAAGTCAAGCTTCTTATAGAATAAGCTGATTTACCATTGTTATAAACAAGTCTTTACGATAAGGTCACTTCTTTCAGATTAAATACTTGCTTTCTTTAAACTTTCTCCAGGAAAATATTTTGAAGCAATGACAATTTTTAAAAAATATGTTTGAGTGGATTGTTTCAGATATTTGCATTAGGTGACATTATAGTGAGCATAAACTCATCTGAGCAAATAAAAAAATATATAAAGAGAAGGGCATGTTATATTTCACCCAAACTGACACCCCAGAGGAACAGCGGCAGCTCTAAAAAAGATTTAAAAGACACAAATGTCAGTTTCGTACACCCAGTGATGATAGTTGATATATTGTGAATAAACTTATTGATATAATCCAAAAAACTGAACATAAAACACCCTAGACTCCGTTTCTATGGACTTTCTTTAGTAGTTTTTAGGGTACTAATTTGAAATGTGCATGTGCAGCCTTGGTATTACTGCTCCAGAAAGGTGGATGGTGCCAGTTTTGTAACCAGAAAAAAAAAAAAAAAAAAAAAGGGGCCCAACTTTGGAAAGTGTTGCACCCTTCTTCCATAATTTCTTGTTCCTAGCCCATTCACAGAGGCGCTGCAGCTTTTGGCTTTGCTTTAATTAAAGCCACGGTGCAAAGAGATGAACAAAAGAAGCCGTGGATCTTGAGACAGAAAGACAAAAAGGGAGCATTTTATTTAGTCAGGTGTCATCAAACGGTAACAGAAAAAAGAGGGTGCGACGCGATGATGTCACTGTGAGGACGGCAGTCAAACCCCCAAACAGCGGCTCATTAGGGGGGAGACTGATGGAAATGTGACGTGTTAGTTTCATCCAGCTGTTTTCTTACATACGTCTCCAGATGATTAAAAAAAGATTACGCAAAATTATTGCGGTCAGCAGAAAATGATTGCGATCAGACGATTGGGCAGCGACTGTGACAGCCCAATTACAGCCAAGCGCTCCACAACTGTGCAACGTTTCAAAAAATAACACACACACAAAAAAAAAAACCCCCCGGAAAAAAAAAAAAAAAAAAAAAAAAAAAAACGGAGACGTGCTGAGAAAGTGAAACAGTGGGAAAACAACTCATTTGTGACCGCTCACTTTTGCTGCCATCCGGGCTGCCAAAGGTTGCGTCAGGCGCCACCCGGAGTTGTGCACGCCACCGCCGAAGTGTGTGAGCTCCATCCACTATCTGAGTTACTGTACACGCCGACGGTGATTACGTAAATAGAGTCCGACTGTGGTGTTCTGGCTCAGAACATTGTTATACACAGTTACATCATCAACGAAGGATCATTGATCTGTGGACAGAGCGTGGAAAAGCTCCTCCTGTGATAATGTAAACGATATTTCTGTGGGGGTCCCACGGCGAGCGCGTGTTTATTCATCCGACTTGTTACGCACACCGGGGTCAGGGAAATTAAATTCCACTTGTGTTTTTATTGCCTGTAACTTTGAAGGGTGTAGAGTGTCATCCAGGTTAAAAAACAGCGTGCTCGGCCCGCCGGCTGCTGCGTTTCCGGGTGCTGTAACAGGAGCAAGTTTTTCCAGGAATCCCAACAGCCTCTCCAGTTAAGGCCGTTTGTTCATATCTTTGAAACCAGAATTTTGTAAAAGGTGAGCGAGGGAGATGCGTATTTCCACATAAGAGAGGACGAACACAAACATATCACCTCCTAGTCTGAGAATTCAATACTTTATAAAAGACATTTAATGATCATGGTTAAAGATTTAAGGCATTTGGTTTACAACACAGCTGTCCCAGATGCAATTTCACTGGACCATTTAAAGAAAGAGGATATCAGGAAACACCATTTGTATCAGTAGTGAATTTAATACTTAACAGAATCCCTGTTTTTTTTACGTCCACATTGAACCACCATCGTTGTCATCCAGACTGCCAATTCTTTTATTTAGCCATTTTAAAATGGTTAACTTCTGGCAAAGCTATGCATTGAAGCATTTTTTCTACAAACACACAATCTGCACTGTTGCTCGCTGAACTTCTGCACATTTAAAAAAGAAGGAGGAGGAGGAAGAGGAGGGTCATGGTGGTGCGCAAAGCCCTGCAGGGACTTCTGTACAGGCCACCAGCATCAGCTCCCTCACATGTGACTGTTCACACCCCTGCTGTACTCACCGGAGGGGTAAACAAATCACTTGTGTATGTAAACACACACGCACACACACACATAGACACACAAAAGAAAATGTATGATCACGCACACACACCAACGCGCGCGCACACACACACAAACGCATGTGGTAGTGTGATCAACACCATGGCAGATTATCAAGATCCTGCAGGGTAAGGCAGATGGTTTTAATAATAAATGCTATCATTGATCCTCTCTCGGCCTTCGGAGATGGAGGGGTACTAAAAGGAAGCGAGAGAACAGCTGACAGACCGACGCAAACGCACGCACAGTCACACAATCTGTGCAACTGAAAACTCATGATGCCAATCTATAAAAAGCATTAGTGCTGGATTTAAGTGTTGTGAAGATGTCACAACGTGTTCTAGGATTTCAGCTTGTGGTGAGAAGCCGCGTGTATTCGTATTTATAGAAACGGCTCATTGAGAGCTAATTTTCCTCCACATTAGGAGCATACTGAATGAAAAAGGCTTTTTAAAGGAGGGTCCGAAACCCTCAAAAACCCCATTCAAAACAAACAGAAGGAAATGTGCATCTGTAGGAGAAAGAGTACCATTACTGGAAATGCAAAACGGCTCGGCACAGATCAGGAAAGTCCAGCAGCGGGTGATTAAAATCACTCCCCGTTTGTGCCCAAAACATCAAACTGTGCCCTCCTTTCCAAACGCGCAGCTTGTTAATAATGTCGCACCACAAAATGCTTAATAACACCATAACGTAATGAGGGAGGTTTATTTTTCCATTCAAAGAAAAGATAATGAGGGCGAGCTGCGCATCCAGAGGAAAAGTGACGTTTTGTGACCACCGCTTTGAGCAAAAAGCGACAGACAGCTCCCAGTTCCAGTCACAAAACGACAAGTCAGATTAATTTTGGTGCTATATATGAGTTATGTGGTCATTTATTTTTTTAAACCCCAGCTATAAAACATTAAGCTGTCTAAAATGGAATACAACTTAAATCCATTTAGAAGTTCACAGAACATACAGCCAAAGAAATATTGGAGGAGATAACCATGCACAGTGAGGGTGCAGGAGTTGGGTATAAAAATCTTTCTGAAGGAGGAAGGGTCCTAAGCGTTGCACATCGTGAGAGACTCTGTGGTGAACTCTGACGAGAGCCCCGTCCCGTTTCCCACATCAGACACGAGTGAATGGGTTAACATGTGTCGGACCCGGGTGACCTGGTCATATGCTGCATCTCTTATTGGCTAAAGACGCAGGCGTATTCTCCAGAGTTGAATCGTGATAAATATGTGGATGCATCTGTTCACATGCCTCCCTCTGGGGGAAAAGCCCCCTCTGAGCTCACATGCTACGTATGCAGGACATGGCGTGACAGGAAAGCTTCGGTATCCTCAGAGAGAAGTCATATTCATCAAGACGGGGATTTCAAAAGGGAGATATCTGCAGCTAAGTGAGGAGTTTTGGAAGCTGGAGATCTGAAAAGCGAGCGATTGTATAAATGGAAACATTTGAAAATATATAAAACACGGAAAGCCGATGGAAACGTTAAGGGCTGGATTTGGCCTGGGTTTGTCTTTATTTCGGGGTTTTGCAGATTTCACATCACTTTTCCCCAATCGACAGCCTGGATCATTCCAAATGTCGGTTTAGTGGGGAAAAATTAAATCTTCCTGAACAGATTTCAGAAAACTTGGTGGGCAGATAAGTGAATTCTGATGTGGATCCAGGTTTTCAGACTTGTGAGCCCTTCTGGTCTGAGTTAATGGCTGATTACTTGCAGCATCTGTCTGATGACTTAGATGAGATCTTAATTTAAAGGGCCCCCCCCCCCCCCTATTTTGTGGAACAATTGTTCTGCTTATTAGATAATTAGCTTGTTACTTGTATGACGTCCTTCAGCTTTGAAGGAAACCTCGGGAAAGCAGAGGCAGCTGAGTTGTCAGAGCCATAAATTGTCCACTGGCAGCAACGTATCCCAAACCCAATTTGGCAAGTGGCAAATTATCCTTCGGCTTCTGGCACCTTCCTGACAAACAAACCGATTGGATTCGCATTTTTTGCTCGCTAATGGTGGGAATCTGTGGCTGGAGCAGCAGAGGACCCGCGACAGTTTGTTAGCTGAGTTCTCTACGCAGAGAAACCTGTGAGGGCTGATGAGGTGCGAGTTTTTTTTATGTAAAAAATGTACTCAAATGTCCCCTTAAAGTGAAGAGTCTTGATGGACCCCTGTTCTTTATATTTTTGCTTCCAAGAAGCCAGACTCTTTCTTTCCTTTTAAAGCGCTCTTGAGCAATACTGCTCCTGGCTTTCTGAAGATCTTTCAAAGTTTCTCTTTGGACCTTGACCGTTTCTTCAGTCACTTTCAGTCCTTTCTTCCTGAATATTTTCGGTTTGCCGTTTGCGAAGCCGCCTTGTTAAGTGGGCCGCACACCGAAAGGGCACCTGTGTCTACTCATAACAACAAACTGATTTCACGTGATATCTTTAGGCACTTTGCTACCAGCAGCCTTTCCTAAAGACACATCCCTTGTTGCCATTTATGGAGAATGACTAAGTGTTTGACGGACGGGAAAAAAGGTTTTTTCTCAGCAACAAGGTCATTCCCAAAGAGCCATTAGCCGAAACATTTCTCAGCTCCGAGGACAGTGTGACATTCGAGGACACTCGACAAGTAGGACAAAAGAAGAAGAGTTGGACCTAAGAAGAAAAAAAATATCTACAGAGAACAAAAGGGGATCTCAAAATGATATCCTTAAGAAAGATGAAAAAACAGTCAGAAATGCTCTCCATGGAAGAGGGGGCTGCCCAGAAGCCATCGTTAAGGACGGGAAACAAGGAGAAAAGGCTGAGCTCCGCCAAAATACACCCAGAAGTGGACTGAAAATCAGTGGCAGCAGGTCTGAAGGAGGGATGGATCCCCCTCCAGAGCCCGGAGCTCCACATTACTGAAGCAGTGTGGGATCATCTGATTGAGAACGGAGCCAAAGAAGAGCTTTGGGACGTCCTTCCAGAAGCCTGGAGACCTGCTCCAGAAGACTACAGTGTTTACAGCTTGTCCACATGTTAAAACCATTCAATGTTTCTCTGACGACGCAGAAGGCTAGTCTGTCTTCTGGGCCTTCCCTCAACAAGTTGGTGCCCCAACTTCCAGCGTGTGGGATAAAGTCCAGCCTGCTTACCCTTAAGGGGAAGACATCTTCTGCACCGTTCCACGGCGGATGTGTGGAGCACTAGACTAGAGCATCATGTCAGACCTACAGGATCATGGTTAGGACACGGGGCTGGCTGCAGCCAGACCTCCACAAAGAGGGACGGGATTTGGCCAGACCTGAAGGCCACCTCAGGTCTGGCCCTCCACAAGAGACGGACACTTAAAGACCCAGTGATGGTGTCATCACACCTCTCTCCTCTCATTCAACGCCCCCCCCCCCCCCCCCCC